TACTGTCCTGTATTTCATTGACACTGGTTTTCCTGTAGTTTCTTCATTCTATTATGCTATATTTTGAAGAATATTCTTTGTTTCATGTAACACAGTACTTGATTTCTGTTTTAAGATCGGTTTGCTTTGAGCCAATTAGACTTGATCGCCATTTGCTTTCGAAGAGCTTGACCAACACATTTCGATTTAGGGCTAAAAATTTAGTATTTGTACCCAACTTGAAGATTCTAAAAAGATCAAATATGTACATTCACTTTTTATTTAACTTTCATTCAACAGAGCAGTGGGGGGGGGGGGGGTGTGACATGACTTTCTTATCTCCCTTTAAGTCAAGTTACGTTACGAACGCACGTACAAGATTAAGTTTATTTTGTGTAGAATTCAGTTGTAAATACCATCTTAAATCAAATTTATAAATAGTTAAGAAATTAAACTTTATTTTATTACCCTTGATTTCCAGAGACGTTTTCGAGACAGGACACTGCGATATTAGCGCGCTCTGTAGGCACGTCGGCGAAGCGTGTCACCGTCGTAACTTAGAGTCCTGCCACTTAAACGGCTAAAGAAATCGATGATAAGAAATTTAATGTTATTGAATATCCCAACTATTAACAAATTTGATTGAAAATTCCATTCACAACTGGACTGCAATTTGCAATTTGGACCTATGAATTCCGGCCCGGTTTAAAAACAACGTATATGCCATTAGTTTCCCTATACACTTAAGTGTTTTTTAGATGAGCCAGAATTTATAGGTCCAAATTGCAAAATGCAGTCCAACTGAATTCTAGGCAGAATAGATTAAATTATGTGAGTGGGTTTGTAATCCAACTTAGCTTAAAGGGACGTTGAAAAGTCACATTACATCTTCCCCTAGTCCCCTCCCCTCCTCTGAGACCCTTAAAAATCTCTCTTTGAAGCTTTTAAACCAATTTTCACGTATTATTTTTCACCTTCCATTTTTTTTTCTTCTTAAAAAAAACCACAATTCAAAAATATTTTCATCAATTGGTGTACTTTGTTCACAAGAAAGAAATTTGAGGTCGCCTGACCATTTTTTGCCCATTAAAAACTTGTGAAATTTTTAAACTATGGTTTTCTTTTAATTTCTATTAAATTCGGTCAAAGGCTATTGGGATGAATAAATATTTTCAATCTGATGTAGCAACACAGCATTGAGCTTTGGTTCACTGAGTGAGATAGCCTAAGGGGCGTGACCACTGCATAGAAAGAGATTAACAGTTTGACGCAAAAATTCGATGACCACTTGCATTTGCTTGTTCCCGCCAGCCAGCGCAACTGCGCCTCGCACCTTAGTTATTCATTGAAAGATTCTTGCCTCGAATGATGTAGTTCAAAAATTTTACATAATAAAACCGATTGTTATCCACTCTTACTTGATTGTTACGATTAAATTTCCATGTAACCTTGAGAGGCATCTTAGATCATTTTTTACTATTACAAACTAGTTGATCAGTTGGAGACACTATCAGCGGCTTCACAGTCTTATCGGCACAGCAATTGGGGCAATCCTATTATATTTTAGAGGATCCTGCAAAAAGGAGAGCTGCAGGTCTGCAGGGACGATTTTTTATGAAATGTTACCATGCGCATTGGGTTTTCTCCAGGGCCGGATTTACCTATAGGGCACTGGGGCACTTGCCCATAGCGGCAAATTTTGAGGGGCGGCAAATTTTGGCACTGGATTAATTGAAAGTTAAAGCGAGAAAAAAGGAAAAAATGGAGACAGAGACGGAGCGAAGTGAAAAGATGAGCGGCAAAATGTATGAAGGAAGGGAGTTGACGCTTGACGGGAGCGGCAAAGCTGCCGCCCCTTAGGTCCGGCC